CCTCACCTCCGCTCCACCATCTCCGATCCCCGCCTCGGATACCCCATCTCTCGTCCTCTCCCTTGCTCCGTTCCCGACAACTTCTCGCAGTCTCTCGATTGGGACCTCGGTCTACCTTTTACCCGAGAGGTCATCTCCTCTCCTCTCTTTTCTTCTTCCTTCATTTTATCTCCCCGTTGTTTGTTCCTCCCGATCCATCAGACTCGATTCTTTCCTCGCTCCTCTCATCCTCCTCTCCCTCCATTCTTTCTCATGTGTCCTCGTCTCCGTGCCTCGCCATCCCGTCCCACCTCCTCACTCTCCTTGTGAGAAGTTCGCTCCCCCCACAACCTCTCCGTTCCTCCCTTCCCTCTCGCTCTCTCTTGCTCTCCCCCCTCGCTCCTCCCTCCTCTTCCCGCCCCCTCTCTCTCTCCCTCCCCCCCTTCTCCTATCTCTTTCCCCCCCTCTCTCGCCTCTACCGTCCACTTTCTCTCTCTATTTTCCAGCCCCGCCCCCCCCGCAACCCTCGTCCTCTCTTCTTCCTGGTTTTCCTATCCCCTATCACCACCCGGCCCCTATCCGTTTTCTCCTCTTCTCTGCTATCGGGCGACCCCTCCCTCCCGAGGCGTGTCGGTGTTGCGGCCAGCCTCGTCTCCCCTTCCTCCTCGTCCTCTCCCTCGTCGTCTCCCTTCCCCCCATCCGCCCTCTCGGCCAAGTGCATCTCTCTCTCGACCGCTCTACCCGACCTCTCTCTCCCCTTCCCGCGCTCCCCAGCAGCCACCTAGTGACACATTGTTCCTCCGTCTCTCTACTCTCTTGCTTCCCGCTTCTGCTCTGTCTCTACTGTCTCTTTCCCCCCCCCTCTCTCACCTCTTTCCCCCTCGATTTTTCTCTCTTTTGTCTTTCTCTCTTTCTCTCCTCATCTCTCTCTTCGTCTCCTCCGCCTCTCTCTCTTCGCCTGTCGGGCGTACTCTCTCAGCCATCTTCTGTATTCTCTTTCTCTCTCTCTAGTCTCGTCTCTCTCTTCTCTCTTTCCTCTCTCTCTTTCTCCTCTCTCGCTCTCAGCGGATGCACTCCTCTTTCTCATCTCTGCGCTCTTTTCTGACTTCTCATCTCTCTCTCTCTCTATTCTCGTATCCCCTCTCTCTCTCTCATCTTTTTCTCTCCTCCTCCACTCGTCTTCTCTCTTTCTCGTCCTCGCCCTCGTCCCCGTCTCTCTCTCCTTTCTCCCTCCTCCCGTCGCTCTCTTCTCCTCTCTTTCTCTCTCCCCTCGTGCTCTGTTCTTTCTATCTCTCCCACTCCTCTCTCTCTCTCTCTGTTTCTTCCGCCCCTCTCTCCTCCTCCTTCTCATCCCTCCTCCTCTGTCCTCTCTCCATCTTTCTCTTTCGACTGGATGTGCCGGACACCCTCTATCATCTCTCTCTTTCCTCTCTCCCTCTTTCTTTTCTTCTCTTTCTCTCTCTCTCTCCGTCTTCCCCCCTCTCGCCGTATCTCTCTACCTCGCATCCTTCCTACACCCCCTCTGCAGTCTCTCATCTCTCTCTCATCTTTCCCCTCCTCGTCTCTCTTGCCCCCTCTCTCTCTCTCTTCAACCCTTTCTCTCTTCTCTTGCCCCCCCTCTCTCTCTCGGTTCTTATTCCAACTCCTCACTCTTCTCTCTTACTTCTGCTCGACGCGCTCTCTCTCGTCTCTCCTTCTTCCCCCACTCCCCCAATACTCTCTCTGCTCTTTTCACCTCTCTCCATCCTCTCTTTTCTTCCCCTCCCTCACTCTCTCTTCCTCTTTCTTCAACTTCTCTCCTCTCTTTTTTTCACTAAATTTGTAGTTGCATACACATAGCTCCAGAAGTGTTGATTCACCGGTGTTAAGGTGCTGCCACCTAGCACTTTTTCCGTCAAATTTTTCGACAATTTTCTGAAATTTTGTCAATTTTTTTGCGAATTGTCGATTCTCCAGTCAGACGATAATGATCGTTGAAAACCTTTCCGTCACTTTTTTCAGCCAAGCATAGTCAAATCAAGAGCTATATTCGAATGTTAGATGATGTATGTTAAGTAAAACTGTAAAAAAATGACGGAAAAAGTGCTAGTGTGACACGGCCTTCTATAACTAGGCCTTGCTGACACCACGTCCTTTCTTTGAATTTCTGGGAAGAAAGATTTCTATTTGTATTACTGTTATTAGAGGTTATAATGATGAGTGATAATAATAATGAGACAGGTAATCAGGTAAAAAGTAACATAATAATGATAAGAAGAGTCATGATAATAGTAATAGCAATATCAAAAACAATATTCAAGATAATGATGATAACAATAATAATGGTAATAAAATGATGATGATATTGATAATAGTAATGATAATGATAATAATAATAGTAATGATAATAATAACAGTAATAAAAATAACTTGGAAAAAATCAAGGAAGGAGGTACACAGGCAAGACCACGTAAGCCTGTTAGTGTCCGACTTGTGAAGCCATCTGTGTAAACAAAAAATACTAAACAATACCACAGTGCAT